ATTTTTTTCTTCAGTTTTTATAAATCTTATTGAAACCTGATTATCCATTTATTAATATAGTTTATTGACAAAGTTATTTTTTAAATAGAAATTTTTGTTTTTATTTAATAAGTAAATTTTTTAATAACAAAAAATATTCTTGAGGTGTGTTTTCTTTACTCATATTATTCATCCATTTTGAGTGAGATTTAGTTAACAAATGCCTTCAAATGTCTTATGGGCTCTTAAATGCATTACTTGACCACATTCGCATGCTACCAATTCGGTGCTAACTTTGGTTTTCATACAACTTTTACACCATTTTTGGTTTTTACTAAATTCATTAACACTCTTGAATGTTTCACATTTTGAACATAAATATACATCTCCTGCTTTCAAAGACTGTAATAATACCTCATCGTTATTTATCAACTCATAGATACGGATAATTTTATTATTTCGATTCATTTTTATATTTATTTATATACAAATTTTAATTACATCATGCTACTAATTATGCTTTTGAGTTTAAGTTTGATACCTAGTTTTTCAATATCTATAAAAATTACCATTTCAATTCAATACAACATCGGCAACATTTCAATCCAATACAACATCTCAAAACTTCAAGTTAAATACCTATTGCTACTCGAAATTTTCTGTAAATAAAAGCGAATTGATGCTTAATACAGAAAACTAGATAGAAACAGGTACTTATACACAAGTTTCCACCATCATCTAAATCATAAAACATCATCTCAAAACAGCTGCTCAAAAACCTACTTTATTTTGTTTTCTTTTTTATTTTTATATATATTTTTTACATTCTTTATGTTTAATTCACTGGAGAAAAATTATTATGTATACATGATAGCCAAGTGGCTTCTTTGCTATTTTTTGCAGGTGTTAACTTGTTAACAGTGTTAGCCGTTTATAGGCATACTGCGAATGACAAAAATTCCACTGCGTGGCCTGTATTTATTAACTAAATTATCTCTAGTAGTTTCTGGGGTGATAGGTGTGTTCATACAATCCACTCTCATTGGCTGTATTCTGCTTTAGGGACATGGGTGTGCTCATTATTTTTGATTGACGTCATATTTACTATGAAAACGTATTGGAATAATTGTCACATATATTATATTTCCTATAACGATAAGCAAATATATGGCGGAAGCTGCTTGGCTATTGTGTCTAAATATTTGTAATGTTTAAAATATGTATAAATTGTTTTAAATAATTTTCTTGGAATATTTCTAAATTCTGTATTTTTCTAAAATATGTGAAATATCATTGTATTTGTAAATAAATTGTATACAAAAAAGTACTCAAAATCCGAATCAAAATTCGATGTAAAAAAGTTGAAATAAGCTAATTTTAAGATGATTTTTTGAATGTTAAAAAAACTGACTGTGCCAGAACATACATAATGTATCTACTCATATTCCATATTCCATGATTGTAGAATGTTCCAAACTTTTACACATTCATCATTTGGCATGTTAGGTATAGAAGGTATTGATGACGAGATCTGATTTGTTATAGATCTCTGTGATCCATGTCGTGTTCCATTGTAGTCCATATCTTGGATTGAACCTTGTTGGAGTTCAGTGCAATTTAAAACTTCGACATCATTAACCCAGGATTCCATATTTGCAATAATCTTTATAATACTAATTGGCAACAAAGAACAAATAACAATTTATTTATGTATTTTATGTTATTTTGTAATACATTAACTGCGGTTGAAGTTAGAAAATTAAAAAAAAATAATAGTCAGAAAATTAAACAAAATATAATGAATGTTATTTTTTTCACAAAAATAAAATATATTTTCTTTAACCCTTGAATTATCCCTTATAATATAATCATACATTTTAAATATACAAATAGCAACAGTTTACACTTATGTTAATAAAAAAAAAATATATATAATCAAGACTTATATTTTACATTCATTACAAAACAGATATTTAATAATATTCTTTTAATCAAATGACCAAATCTCCATTGACAAGTGTATTAATATTAATTGGTGGTCCATTACAATTATAAAATGGTTATTACTTTTGTAGGAGAAAATTGAATTAAATGTTTATATAGATTAACAAATAAGTTGGTAGAAATAGTTAAGGATATAATTAAATTCACAAAAAGTTTGCAAAGACAATAATATGTTTTTTATTTCAACAAAAGTAGGTTTATTAATGATTAACAAATGTAGTTTGTTGAAACTACTTAAGATATTTCTCTGAGTGGATGTATTATCGCACACTATACCTTAGATACGGCTAGACGGGCATATCTAGACTGGCGAGCCCTTTCTTCGACTTCCGTGAGAGTCAGAATCTCTTCTACCATTTTGTAGAAGAGTCTGAACGTCTCTTCTGCCTCGTTGAGGGCCGTCACCTTCTCTGTCTGATCCGTTGGGAGGTCCTCGAAGGGGTCGTCGTATTCTCCCATTTTGTATATAATAGCCTTTAGTACAGAACTATAACGGCTCAGATATCTTATCTTTATTATTATAAAATATAATTTATATGTTGTAATCTAGTGGGACAATTTTTTTTTGAATTTTGTCATAATTTAGCACATTGAAAAAATCCTATTTGCCATCCCTATATTAGTTTATCGATTATAAATTAATAGCTCTTCTCTTGTTACCCCAGGTCGCATGACCTAATTGCGTGGCTCCTTATATTAGAGATTTGTTTTGGTACGCATTTGATTGTTATCTATATTTTCCTATTATAATGTTGGATACAGTATACTATACTAGCCACTACGTATGACACCTTTAAGATGATTCTAAGTGTACGTAGGAATTTTGGTTGCTACATTTGTAATCAAATATAATTTTAGAAGTATAAATTTCTTCTTCAAGCAAAAGATTGGCAAAATCTTGATTAATTTTAGCTTCGATATCTTCATAGCTTTTCTTATTTTAATATTTAATTTGTTTTTTAAAATATTTTATTGTTATAAAATAAACTTACCAATTTCTTGTTGTTCCTTCTCATATTTTTCTTCATATTTTTTTTCAAAATAAATAAACACTTCGTTCCATTTATTACGTTTTATTGTTCTGTCCCTGTACTCTGTTTTTATTTTGTCCCAAAGGCCTAGATTCCACTAATTCAATTAATGTTGGAATATCGTATGAAAAACTCATTTTAATAATTTTAAAATTAAAAAAATGTTGAATAATTATATTTGTATTAACCACGTGTTTATATATTTAACAACAACATAATGAACAAAATTGATAACACTATTTCGGCACGACGATATTATCGGTAATGTGTGAAAACCGACCATTTGTTTGTATTGGTAATTGAAATCGGAACGATAAAAATATCGTCCGATACTGGTCGTCCGTCCGGCATGCACTCCGATATCGTCGCACTAAAACGATATTTTTATCGGATCGGTGTCAATGTTAAAGCCGTCCATTTAAAACCATACAATTTTACTTCTACCGATACCGATACCGACACCGATAATATCGTTTGGTGTGAAAGCGCCCTTAAGATGATTCTGAGTGTACATAGGAATTTTGGTTGCTACAGATGTAATCAAATATAATTTAGTCAAAATTACGTAGTGGGACACTAGATTACTAGAACTGTGTGAATAAGTTAATATTATATAATAAGTTCTCGTTCGTGTATTGAGAGAATAAATCGTGTGCAAATTGTACGTTATTAATATTAATTTTTATTCAAAATGTCAAATCAAAAACTACAGGATGTTCGAAACTTTTTGCCATCATTTTGTATTTGTATTTTGCTGTGTTAATAAAAATAATTATGGCACAGCTAAACATTTTTTTTTTGAATTATTCCATAATTTGGCACGTTGAAAAAATCCTATTTGCCATCTCTGTATTAGTTTATCGATTATAAATTAATAGCTCTTCTCTTGTTACCTCACGTACCATGACCTAATTGTGTGGTTTTTATATTAGAGATTTGTTTCAGTGGATCTGAATATGATTTAAAGTTTTTAGAAGCTATTATTAGTGTTATTAATTGGTGATGTAGTAAATATGTAAACAACCACTTATGCATTTTTAAAACTTAGTGTTATATACTATTATCAAAAATAAAGTTAATACTTTTTAACGATAATTAATTAATTAAATAAGTTCTGTAATTAATAACTATAATGGTATTGAGAAATAAGAATTCAGACAGTGATTTAGTAGCATTCAGATGCAACTGGAAAACCCCGTAATAAGTTACGTTGTAGTTACGTTGTGACTCGCCGACTGCTAAACTTCTAGTCGGCCTTCAACATTCGACGTGTTAGTCGATATTTGTGAAATATTTTTACATCATTTTAAATGTTTAATAAAAACGTAACGTTTATAAAATGTCGTTTCACACATACAACAGATATATTTGTTACGTTTACATACATGTCTATTTGCATTTATGAGGTAAAATTCGTTGCAATAGTCGCAAATTTTTTTAGATAATCCAAACGGGTTTTGCATTTGTTGAGTTGTTATTGTACTTTGCATATCTTTAAGTGTTCTTTTACCGCGGTTTCGTATTTTTTTTATCGTTTAAATGTTCCAAATTTATTCTCACTGTGAACAAACAAAATAAAAATCAATAATGATATTATATTTAAACCAAAAAGAAGTTATATATTACAATAAAACGCTGTACGTTCTTCACCACTTAATTCAGGCATGGAACACAATTTTGAGTATTTAAGCAACCATTGTGGGTTTCGGAAGAGATTTATAAAAATAGCTAAGTTGTGTTTTGTTGGGATATGGTTATCGATACGCATGAATTCTGTATTGCATAAAAAACAAAGAGCTTCTCGTTTCGTACGCCCGTATATAACATGCTTAATTTTGGATTTTATTTGTTTCAAATCAATAGACAAAAGACGGGTTATGTCTTCCGGTGACGGTGTAAAACAATCAAAATCTGTTAAAACTGATTTAGTTAGTAACCATTTTGAAGATCCAAAATTTACAGATTCCGAAAAATTAACACCTAAATTTATAGATTGGTGCATAATATTTGGTTGTGTATATATATGCCAGTATTTCTAATTTGCAATACCAATTCTATTGGTATATAATTTTCTAAAAAAAATTTCGGATGAATAAATATCAATTGTCCTTGATCCAGTGGTATAAGTGTTTTTAATTTTTTCGCTGCGGCTTGCGATAGAAACAACCAGAGTTTGGGGTAGCCTTCGTATAAGAGGTGTATTACTGGTAAATGATCGGGTTCTATACGGAGACTAGTCGCGGTTCTTGAATTTCCAATATGAAAAACCGATCGATTTAATCCCGATTGTATCCCTATGTTGGTTTTATTGTCTGCAGATATACACGATTTATATTCGTTACAAAGTTTGTCCACGTAACCGTTTTCAGTAACCGACTCGTTTTTGTCTTCTAATATTTTGCACGGATCAATATTGTTAAACGAGATGTGACTATTGTCAGAACCGTTGAACATACGGTATGTAATTCTACAATATAAATCTTTTTTGAGCTTTGTGCCTTTCCAAGTTGTTGGAGATTGCGCAGGACACCAATAGTACAATAGTATTTCTGTTTTGTTAAACATAGTGGATTTGAAATCCACTATGAAGAAATGGATCTGAGAACTAAAATATAAATTATATTATTTACCTAATTTAATATATTATTATTTTTTTTTTCTCTTTTTTTTATTACTTATATGTTTAATATAGGAATATATTCTTAACACCTGAAACAAGAACTTATTTCTTTAAATGATCAATAGGCAGAATAGGTCTTGCAATTAGTTGTTCCAATAGTTACACAAACCGATCTGTTTGGTTGTGGATTGTCAACCATCTTGGCTTTATATTTTAGCCTTCTCTGTTTCGCTAGAAATGTTTACCTTTTTCAAACATGGGAAAAAGATTATTAGCAGAAAATTGTGAAAATAAATGTACCTAACCACAGATTGCTCACATTTCAGGTACTGAAGACATCCTCTCTTTTAGAATATCCACAACTAACCTTCACCCCACATTCATCTACATTATTTTTATCGATGGTCAACCTAGCACCTTGTCATATGTTTTATAAAATATTATTTTGTGGTTGAAATGTACTACAAAGGTTTACCTATTGTAATGACTTATGACCTCCACACTTCTAAAATTTGTGTGGTAATTTAATTTCTTTATTATAAATTTGTATCTTTTAAGTCAAGAAAATTTCCTTTTTATTTAAGAATAGTTTCAATTATTGTATCAAGTAAAAACAATTTTGTGCTTGTAGATGATTATTAATTCATAAGTACATTTACTCTATAATAGTAACATATTTAGTGAACTGAAAACAATGGATGTATGATACAATTTGGATCTGAATTATGAATTAAAGTTTTTTATCTGGTTTTCTACATATACTACAACTAAAATATTTTTTGATAAAACAAAATGTTTGAATCTTTCTTTTATTATTACATTATAACTTTATTATGAATTGTGTATACTTATATAACAGCTATATGTTCTCATCTACCATATTTGCATTAACATTGATATACATTTGTTTTAATTTAAACAAACAAAAAAGAAAAAGCTGATTTATACGTGTTATTATTATTGTGTATAGTAATTGTAAGTTGAAATTTCAACTGATATATGGTCAAGTTAGCTGTGATTTGACATATTATTCAAGAAATGCATATGTATGAGCCCCTGGCGTGGTCTAACAATTCGCAAGCTCTTAAATGTATGTATGAATGAACATGTTGAATTTACACGCAAAATCTCAAACAAAAAAATTATTGGTTGTACATGTAAGCTACTTAGCATATGTGGTAAAAGCTTGTATGTGTATTTATACACAACAGCTATCTTATATGTCTACACACAATGCTGTTATAGGAAACACGGTATATTAACAGTGAACAAGTTTATAATGCAATGTGTAGTAAAGAATATTTAAAAAATAGTTGTTATATAGTGTGTACAGAATAAAATAATTTACTGATCAAATCAGTTTTATGTAGGGTTAAGAAGCTATTATTATTGTTATTAATTGGTGATGTAGTAAATATGTAAACAACCATTTATAAATATAAATTACACTACTAGAAAAATATTGTATTAAGAAAAAAAAAAAAAATTAGTTTTTGTGTTACAATGTTAATATTATATAGTGAAACATTATTAAAAAAAAAAAAAAAAAAAAAAAAAATATTTCTTTTTTCGAATATTATATCATACTAGCTTAACATATTGTATGAAAACTTAACGTTTTGAAGAGTTTAAATTAAAGAGAAACAATTACAAAAACATCACAAGCTTAAAACAAAGTTTTTTTTTGATAAAATAATTTGATTATTATTTTTTTTATATTTTCTCAATATGTTTTATTATCAACAAAAAATAATGAATTTTTACAACGTATTTGTGCTGGGTTGTACCATCTAAATCCTACATTGTAGTATCGTGTTCAAATCCATTATATTTACCTATGGAAATTCGTAAATATCATCCAATATTTATGAAATTAATTATATTTAAATATTTTTCATTAATCCAAATAAAAAATCAGATTTATTAATAATTTAGAATTGTGTTACCTATTTTTGTATTGTTTGAATACGCGATGGTCTTCTACAATATTTTCATTTAATAGAGTTTCATTTCCTCTTCATCACAATTCCTAACTTGGTATCTGAAAAATGCAGAGCTATCAGTGGACTATTAAGGTCAAGAATTTGTCTTTTACTTTTAAATTTATTGGCCGGGGGGGGGGCTGTTTTGTGGGGTATCCGTCCCTTTTTTTGGGTTTAAGGAACCAATGCTGTGGGATGGGTTGGTTTTGTCCGTTAATGATAATGATAATCAACCCTATATACCAAACCTACTTAAACGCGCATAGGGACAGCTGGTTTTTTTCGCCAGCCGTATGTGAACGCGTAGGAGGTTACCCGCTAGGCCCCAATGGCAACCACACTTTGGCGTTCTACAACGCAAATTTTACAAGTATCGTGCTTTTAAGTGACAAGACAAAAAAAAAAAAAAGGGGGGGAACATTTTGTAGATATTACTCTGACGACGTTGAGATGTGTTGTTGAACGAGGAACTGGATGGGCTGGTTAATACCACCGGCACACACGCGGCCGGCATGGCCCATCTTGTCGTCGATCAAACCGCCTAGGATGGTGACGGCGACACGGAGGTTGACTGGTTCAGCAGCTTTGCCCACTATCGGGCTCGTGAGCGGTACTTAGCCCATCATGGCGGTTGGTTCCCGTCGATGAAAAAACAATAATGATAGTCACACGCGAAGTGATGGTGGTCGACACGCGGTTGTGGTCGTTGTTGAAAAAGTTCGGGATGCGTCACGGTACCAAAACGTCTGGTTCGTTCAGCGGTCTCGGAAAATGTGAAAAAGACGGCCGATGTTGTCTTGCCGCTGGTGGTGGTCGTTGATGTTGACGTGGTGGGGAAGGTCAGTGTCTACATTCAACCGAATGTAGAAGTTCATTATAAGCTTTCCTTTTTTTTTTAATGTAATCATTTTGATCGTTTATCTTCCATAGACATTTATGGTATTCATACATCTTTATGACTTTATATATGATGAGGCAGCCATCGGTGTATATTTATATATACTTAGCAGTAGTATAATTTTGGCGTTTCAGACCGCTGACCCGCAACCAGCAACATATAGTATGCCCTCTAGAAGCAAAATTTGATATTTTCTATTTTCTCTATTAAAAGAATTTCGTATGTTTTTATTTTTTTTTTGACAAAACGAACGTTAGCTTTATTGAAATCGTCTTTTACCGAATGTAGAAGTTTGTTATAAGCTTTCGTTTTATCTTTTTATTGTAATCATTTTGATCGTTTATCTTCCATAGACATTTATGGTATTCATACATCTTTATGACTTTATATATGATGAGGCAGCCATCGGTGTATATTTATATATACTTAGCAGTAGTATAATTTTGGCGTTTCAGACCGCTGACCCGCAACCAGCAACATATAGTATGCCCTCTAGAAGCAAAATTTGATGTTTTTTATTTTCTCTTTTTAATGAATTCCGTATGTTTTTAGTTTTTTTTTGACAAACCGTACGTCAGCTTTATTGAAATCGTCTTTTACCGAATGTAGAAGTTCGTTATAAGCTTTCGTTTTATCTTTTTATTGTAATCATTTTGATCGTTTATCTTCCATAGACATTTATGGTATTCATACATCTTTATGACTTTATATATGATGAGGCAGTCATCGGTGTATATTTATATATACTTAGCAGTAGTATAATTTTGGCGTTTCAGACCGCTGACCCGCAACCAGCAACATATAGTATGCCCTCTAGAAGCAAAATTTGATATTTTCTATTTTCTCTATTGAAAGAATTTCGTATGTTTTTATTTTTTTTTTGACAAAACGAACGTCAGCTTTATTGAAATCGTCTTTTACCGAATGTAGAAGTTCGTTATAAGCTTTCGTTTTAGCTTTGTATTGTAATCATTTTGATCGTTTATCTTCCATAGACATTTATGGTATTCATACATCCTTATGACTTTATATATGATGAGGCAGCCATCGGTGTATATTTATATATACTTAGCAGTAGTATAATTTTGGCGTTTCAGACCGCTGACCCGCAACCAGCAACATATAGTATGCCCTCTAGAAGCAAAATTTGATATTTTCTATTTTCTCTATTGAAACTATTTCGTATGTTTTTATTTTTTTTTTGACAAAACGAACGTCAGCTTTATTGAAATCGTCTTTTACCGAATGTAGAAGTTCGTTATAAGCTTTCGTTTTATCTTTTTATTGTAATCATTTTGATCGTTTATCTTCCATAGACATTTATGGTATTCATACATCTTTATGACTTTATATATGATGAGGCAGCCATCGGTGTATATTTATATATACTTAGCAGTAGTATAATTTTGGCGTTTCAGACCGCTGACCCGCAACCAGCAACATATAGTATGCCCTCTAGGAGCAAAATTTGATGTTTTTTATTTTCTCTTTTAAATGAATTTCGTATGTTTTTATTTTTTTTTTTGACAAAACGAACGTTAGCTTTATTGAAATCGTCTTTTACCGAATGTAGAAGTTCGTTATAAGCTTTCGTTTTATCTTTTTATTGTAATCATTTTGATCGTTTATCTTCCAAAGACATTTATGGTATCATACATCTTTATGACTATATATGATGAGGCAGCCATCGGTGTATATTTATATATACTTAGCAGTAGTATAATTTTGGCGTTTCAGACCGCTGACCCGCAACCAGCAACATATAGTATGCCCTCTAGAAGCAAAATTTGATATTTTCTATTTTCTCTATTGAAAGAATTTCGTATGTTTTTATTTTTTTTTTGACAAAACGAACGTCAGCTTTATTGAAATCGTCTTTTACCGAATGTAGAAGTTCGTTATAAGCTTTCGTTTTAGCTTTGTATTGTAATCATTTTGATCGTTTATCTTCCATAGACATTTATGGTATTCATACATCCTTATGACTTTATATATGATGAGGCAGCCATCGGTGTATATTTATATATACTTAGCAGTAGTATAATTTTGGCGTTTCAGACCGCTG